GGCGCGCGCGGCCCCGGCCGCCGCGCCAGGTGAGGCGGGCACTCACCTCGGGGAGCTCCCGGAGCTGGTTGGCGTCCAGCAGCAGCTCCTCCAGGCTGCGGGCATAGCGGTAAATCTCCTCGGGGACGTAGACCAGCGAGCAGTGGCGCTTGTCGATGACCTCCACATGACGGTTGCACCGCCACAGGGGAATGCAGTGGAACATCGCCGCCCCCCCCGCCGCCGCGCTCCGCTTCCTACTCGCGGCTGCCGCGCACTGGGCATGCGCACACGGCCGCACGCGGAGGGCGTGTCCCGGCCGGGGATGCTCCACTCCGGGTTTTCCTGGCGATCCCGCTCCCTGGAGGGTCGCGAGGGACCGGGGCTCCTGCGGGCCCCTCCTCGCTGGGAGTCGCACAGCGTGGGACTTTGAAGGGAACTGCGCTCTAAAAAGGACCCGAGAAGCACAGGGACCGAAGGCCAGATGGAGCCGAACAACTTCCGAGTTTTAGTTTTACTCACCGTGCCTCTTCTTCTCGCTCCCCTTCCCCAAAACAACTTTCTCTTCCGGGGTCAGGAAGTACCGCCCCGCAGTGTACCTTGAGCCTGGGGTATCGCTGGAGCTTGTTCTGGCTTTCCGACCTCTTCCCTCCCCCTTGTCCCCTGCGTCTGCTCACACTCATCGGCGGACTCTGTGTCCTGGGAGCATCTTCAGTTACTAGGGTTTATCTGAGATGTAAGCGTCACCCCCTTAAAAGCATGGGGTCAGAGTCTTTAAAATCTTTTAAAAGATGCTCCGGGAAGAAAGGAGTTGGCGAAGGTGCACTTCGGGACCAGTTCTACCTGGCCCAAGTGTGACTCGGGCCTAACCTGGGCTGAAGAAATACAGAAGGGATTGGTCCGGGAAGCCAAATGAGCCTCCTGCACCCGGCCCCTGTGTTTCTTGGACAGCACCCTGCTCCAAACGAAGGGGAGACTGCAACCCAGTCACGTTCCTATTACCATAGGCAGACTCTTGAACCATCCATCCCTTTTCTCCTGATGTTACCAGTCACGATCTCTGAATAACCAAAGACACTCCTCATGAACGATTGTCGATCCGGTCTAGGACAAACACAGTAACAAAGGACTGTTTCAAGAGTCTCCTCTGACTCCCCACCCAGCCGCTGAAGCCCTATACTCCCACCGCTCAGATATGGAGAAGCCTGAAAGTTAGGCATTTTTAGTGACCAAGGCAAAGCTTGTGCTGAATCCTGTCTGTCTCTTCAGTACTTCTAACTGCACAGGACCTTTTTTGCTCAAGTGGAGAGGGGAAGGGACACATAACCCTCATCTCTACCAGGAGGGCCTCTTTATCTTAATTGAAAAGAGGAAATTCTGCTTTTGTTTCTACCTCAAGATTACCACCTAGGCCTGCTAGTTAAAGCCAGTGGCTAATTCCTGCCACTACAGCTTGCTTCTGCGTTTGTGCTGACTTGATTCCTGCATTCTTGAGGAGGACTTTGAGCCTCCACTCCTCCTTCATTCTTGCATTCCAGGAGCATGGATAGAGCCCATTTTCTGCCACCTCCATGGAAAAATTTGGTTTCTGATTGAGACATCCAAGAAAATGCCTCATTAACTTTGTGGGTTTTCCAACTGCTTTTTAAAAAAATTGTAGAAAGCTGACCTACGCAGTTTAGTGTTTATTTTTCAGAGATATTCACACTAGATTATTTATGATAAATGTATTTCTATGAAATGGCTGTTCTTTTGAGAATTCCAACCTAGAAATAGGCATTCCTATGCTTCCCTGTGTTGTGATCATGTATCTTCCTATTTCCAAAGACATTGTGGCCTTTTAAACAACAGCAGATACTCTTACCAGCTTTGCAGATCCTGTAAACTACCACAGTCCACATGACTTAACTGCCAGATTCGGTGTTTAGTTAATTCTGTGTTCTAGTTAGTTTTCTGTTGCTGTTATAAACCACATGACAAAAAGTAACTTAGGGTGCAAATGGTTTGTTTGGCTTACATTTCCGGATGACAGTCCATCTTTGAGGGAAGCCAAAGCAGGAACTCAAGCAGGACAGGAACCTGAAGACAGGAACTGACTGATGCAAAGGCTATGGAGGAATGCTGCTTACTGGCTTGTTAGGCTTGCTTTTTTATACAACCCCAGACCACCTGTCTAGGATGGTACCAACCACAGTGGGCCCTCCCACATTAGTCTTTAATCAAGAAAATGCCTTATAGACTTGCCTATAGGCCAATCTGATGGAGGCATTTTCTCAGTTGAGGTTCCCTCCTCCTAGATGACCTCTCCTTATGTCAAGTTGATAACTAATCAGCACAAGAGATGAGGGTTTATTTGGTTTACTTGTCAGGATCACAATCCATCAGGGTAAGCAAGGACAGGAATTCAAAGCAGCAACTGAAGCAGGTGTGGTAGAGAAAGCTTACTGGCCATGCTTCCTTATGTAACTCAGGACCACCTGCCCACTGTGGACATATAATCCAGGATAGTTTACTGTACAACAGATAATTAATGTGCACATTATTCACCAGACACATGCTAGATACTAGAAATACAAAGATAAGTTAGCCCCTATCACTGATATAATGAAAACAACTCTATTAATGGTTTGTTATTGTAATTCCTAACTGTTTTGTAAAATGGTGTGTGTAATCATTGCCTTTTTAAACTAGAAATCCAAAGTGGCAGCTTGTAAGATGGAGATGACTGGGAATCCAGAAATCCAGACATGTAAAATTTAAAATGAGAGTAAGATACTGCCCTGTAACCATTGGAGTTTAAAAAAAAAAAAAAAAAAAAAAAAAAAAAAAAAAAAAAAAAACCTGATAATCCTGTGTTATTGAAGATACAGAGTAGCAGGAACTCAAGCATTGAAGTTTCTCTGCTCTAATGATCCAACCATTCCATTCCATGGTATACACACACACACACACACAAAAAAAAAAAAAAAAAAAAAAAAAAAAAAAAAAAAAAAAAAAAAAAAAAAAACTAGTATAAGTTATTTGTCAAGCTCAATGATAGTTTTATTACTATTAGTCAAAAACATTGAAATAATTAAATATTAATCAACAGATTAAAAATTAGAATATAGAAATGATGGATTAGAACTCAATGGTAGAAGGAAATAAACTACTAAAATATGTTTTAAAAAAATGAATGTATCTCAAAAACTCGGGTCCATAAAAGAAGCCAAATACAAGACAGGCAGTGGTGACACACACATTTAACCCCAACACTCAGGAGCCAGAGAGAGCCAGATATATGTGAGTTCAAGGCCAGCCTGGTCTACAAGTACAAAAGAAATTCCAGGACAGCCAGGACTGTTACATAGAAAAACACTGTCTCGAAAACAAAACAAAAACAAACAAACAAAACAGAAAAAGCAATATACAATAAAGCACATACTATATTGCATAACATATATAAATTATAAACAATAAAAACTAATATAAAATGATACAATCTAAATCAATGGCTGCATGCATCTACTTTGTATAGAAGTGGGAGAGGGGTTATAAACAGCAATGTCTTGGTAGAATTTGGGAAGTGATAGAACTATTTATTTGGGTAGCAGTTACATACGTGTGTGTTATTAAACTCAAAACAATCTACTTAAATAGAAATATTTAACTATACAAAATTTATGTGTGAATGTTTTAATTCTTCTCACTAACAAGAGACTGACAAGATGGCTCAGTGGGTATGAGCACTTGCTACATACACAAGCTTGAGGACCTGAGTTTGGCTGTGCAGCACCTATACAGAAGTGTGGCAGCATGAGACCCTGACCAGCCCAGCCTAGCCAAAAATAAAAACAAAAACAGCAAGCTCCCGGTTCAGTAACAGATCCTGTCTCAAGACCATAAGGAAGAACAAGAGAACAGGACAGCTAATACCCTCCCCTAGCTTCTTCACACAGGAGTGCCAGGTCTCTCTCTCTCACACACACACACACACACACACACACACACACACACACACACACACACTATAGGAAATGTACACTACAGGCAGCTGTAAATTACAGCTCAGGCAAGGAATCATGTTGTGGTAAGTGGCTACCACGTATCTGCCATATGTCAGGCACTGGGTTACTTTTCTGGGAAACAAAGGGAGTGGCAGAGCATGGAGTCTTTCTGGGAGAAAGGCTGTTGTCAAGGGAATGATATCAAGATATAAACTATAATGGGACAGTTGTGTCTTTTTCTAATCTAGAAAATCTATCAAGAGCCTGACCTTTTCATTTCGTAAAGGAACACGGGAGTGACCCTCTGAGGTAGGTGTGTGTGTGTGTGTGTGTGTGTGTGTGTGTGTGTGTGTGTGTGTGTGTGTGTGTGTACACATATGTATGTATCACATATGACATATATATATCAAGGAGCTAATCAAATGATATGCAAAGCTGGACACTGAAAAAACAGCTCGATTTGCATAACAACCCCAGGGAACCTTTAACAAATGAAACTCTCAGACTGTAATCATGCTTCCTCTGACTTGAATTTAAGAAGGCTTTTCCAGAGATTTTTAGAATACAAGACAAGGATTCAAACCATTCAGAAACCTGAGAACCTATAGAATTCCATAAACAAGTAATTTAGAATTCAACAATCTTTATAATCAGAAGCAAGACCACTATCATAAGTCTCTTATTTCTTATTGGTGTTCCTCCCACGAACTTGCACAAGCTCACTTATGCGTGCGCGCGCACACACACACACACACACACACACACACACACACACTTGAGCTTGGCACTCACTGCAGGTTGTCAAGCTTGGTTCCTCTACCTACTGAGCCATCACCCTGGCACTTGCCCTTATTTTTTCATTAAAGCATTTATCACATCCACACTCAAGATAGTCCTGAAATGGCTGGATTTGTGTTTTCTGTTGTAGTTTTTGTTTTCTGTTGATGCCATCGGACTCTCATCCTTCCCTTGTAGAACATTCCCTTCAAGTGGACAAAGAAGCTGTAAACAAACATCACATGTCTGGGAAGGGGTAAGCCAAAACATCTTTGTAGCTCCCTAAACAAATTTATTGGGGCAGCAAACAACTGCTGGGAGGGAGACTACCAGCCAGGCTGCCCCAAGGAGCTTTCTGGGAACTTTTGATCTGCTGGCAAGGTGAAAGCTCCAGGGCTACAGGTTTCATGAGTTATCACGAGAACTGGGCGGCCTTTTGGAGGAAGTAACTGCTTTTAAGTTATCCCTGCTCTTAGAA